TGTGTGTGTGTGTGTGTGTGTGTGTGTGTGTGTGTGTGTGTGTGTGTGTGTGTGTGTGTGTGTGCGCGTGTATTTATTTGTTTGTTTGTTTATTTATTTATTTACGTGTATTTGTATTGAGGCAGCGATGAGGAAACAACTATGATGATGAGTAGTCTATGGGAATTTTCGTGCACGTGATTTATCTGTTTAAAATTACGCTGCTCGCGTTTTATCGCTGTGGTCAGAGCAATTAACGTCCATGTTTGATGTTAACGCTTAGACAATTCCCTTACTGCGGTTATAGTTTTAACAGTAAGGTAACAACGGCAAGCCGATGTGTTAGGATATCAGGATCCGATATACGCTATTATTATGACGCTTCTCATGATATACTGGCTTTATTACGTACTAACGCGAGGAAATTCTAGAACGAAGGCCACGAGTTAATAACGGAAGTCATTCTATTAATAAACCACGACCTTCTAACATTACATAGGTTCGCTTGAAAAACAGATTTATTCAATATTGGCTTTAACCGACCCGCAATATAGCAATTATTATACGATAACATATAATAAAATGAAGCCCATTATTAATTATAGACGCATAATGGCGGTAGTGTGTCGTAATACGCATTTCTAACATACGATCTCGTATTTCCTACGTGATTATAACATTCTGACATGACTTACCTTTTGTTTTCGTGTCGGGAGTGTGTGCGGCCGTCTCCGTCTTCAGCTGCGGGTATGAACGCGATATCACGTCTAACCGATGATGTCTTCTCTGAGCTCCCAGGTTCGCCTTCCCCGCGATGTTCTGTTGCTTGAACACGCCGTGATGTTCCTGCTGCTGGTTGCTAGGCGACAGGGGGAGGTTGCCTGGATACGTCGCGTGCATGCCCTGATGGTAGTGTCCGGGGTACACGCTGGTGATGTCCGGCAGGGAGCGATACTGCGGGTGACATGCAGCGGGGTACTGGTACTGCAGCTGCTGCTGCTGGCGGTGAGCATCCGCCTGGCTGTTCAACCCCAGGATGGCTTCAATAGAGAAGGACTTCATCGCGGTACTCGGCGACCGCGTCGGCGTTGGGCTGCCGGACGTCGACACTGTCGTCTCTGGCGACGACGCCGGCGCCGCTGGCAATGCCAGCAGCTGCGGCGGCGGCGGCGGCGGTGGGACCATGCCGATGTAGTGTGAGTATGGCACGGCCCGCGGCGGCAGGCTGACGTTGACGCTGAGGGCGGCGTAGGAGTAGTTGAAGGGAATCATGACAGGACTCTGCATGGTGCTGAAAGCAGCGAATCCTTTGTCCATCTGTGAGTGTGTGACACAGGACTGTACACTCTGCTGCTGCTGCTGATGATGATGATGAAGATTATGATGATGATGTTGTTGCTACTGCTGCGGATGACGACGATGATGTTGTTGCTACTGCTGCGGATGACGACGATGATGTTGTTGCTACTGCTGCGGATGACGACGATGATATTGTTGCTACTGCCTCTGCTGCTGCTGCTACTACTACTGATGCTCTCGGGATGCAATGCGATGTCTATACTGGGATGTTGTAAACGTAGGCTGGCGGCCCGGACTGACTCCAGCCGCTGTCTCCTCCCTGGCAGGTGTCGGTGACGGCAGACGATGGCGTGCTACAGGTGTACGAAGATTCTTCTCTCGTCCGTGCGAGGCAGATACACGTCGCCGCGTAATAATTGCTCGCAAACTAGATGTCGTTACGGAGCTGATACGATCAAGGCGTCTGCTTCTCTCGCCGTGGCTGCTACCTGTCTGATGCTACTGCTGCTGCCGCGCGGTAGCGTATGCTGGATCATCCCACTTCGCGCGCGCGTATATCCGCGAGGCGGCGACATCAAAGGGCGGCTCGCCGCGCGGCGGTGACGGCGGCTGCGGGCGGCGAACGTCCGCCGTGCGGCGGCGGCCGTGATTGGCTGCGCGTCGCACGCGCTCGTCGCTGATTGGTGGCGCGCTGCTGCGAGCTACGGACGCGTTCGCGGCGATGATGCCGTCATGTGTGACGCGATATCAGAACCGCTGCTCGACGCCCGCCAGCCTCTCTCTCCACCTCCTCTCTCTCTGTTTCTCTGTTTCTCTCTCCACCTCCTCTCTATATATCTCTCTCTCCGCCTCATCTCTCTGTTTCTCTGTCTGTCTGTCTCTCTCCCCCCCCCCTCTCTCTCTCTCTCTCTCTCTCTCTCTCTCTCTCTCTCTCTCTCTCTCTCTCTCTCTCTCTCT